ACAGTGGGACAGACTCCTCCTGTTCATCTTTCAAAAAGTTGGTATTGATTGAGCAACTAATCAGCTGTGTATTTCCTGTGCTCTGAATCAGAGAGCTTCCCTGTTTTGGGGTAGCAAGTGTAATCTGGGAGTGGAAAGCTTCTCGGGGTCTCTCTGTTCCCACAGAACTCCAGAGTGGCCTCATTTCACACCTCTCAGGAAACAGTTTTCCGAGTGACAGATTGATTGGTGTATGGGTGGTTACCAAAAAAGAATCTATTTTATTAGCTATTTGTCTTGCAAAGTGAAATCGTTTTTTAAAACTTTATCAAAATGTCATCGTCCTGGGGTTGTGCCCCTGGCTTGGAGAGACAATCCACAGACCCCACAGGGGAAGGGCTACCATGTTTGGGTCTTCCTCGAGCCCTCCTCAGGTGATGAGCCTGGGATGTGTCGCCCAGCCGGAGGCTCTCTCAGGGGGCAGGGGTTGTGGGGGTTGAGGGCATGAGGCGCAGCTGGGCACCAAAAGGGTGTTGCCAAATCTCATCCTGATGCCTGAAATGGCTCTCTCTCTCTCTCTCTCTCTTTTAATATACCAAGGGAAATAATGAGAATCTAGACATTCATACACATGAGAGACCACGTACAGGTAACTTTGCTTTTCTATTTGAGAAAGCAATAGGAAACATTCCACTTACTCATTTTTTAGAAATGAAAACCAAGGATATAAAATCTTTAAAAAGTATTTGGTTTTCTATTGGTGGCAGTTAAAGAAGAGAGAAAGATAGAGGGGGACTGAAAGCAGTGGAGGGAAGCCAGAGGGTGGAGTTAAGTCCCCCAGAAGCCTCAGTGGGCGCAGCCCCCATCAGTAGGCCAGTGAGCAGAGGCTCTATTCTTGGCCCTTCCCTCCACCCTCAACTCGTCCCATTCAGAGTCAAGGCCAGTCACTTCCAGCTCTGCAGTCCATTTCCGGTCCCTGCTCCTTCTCTTCTCTCCCTTCTTGGGCCTCCTCACTTTTTGCCTGCTGTGGGCCATCCACCATGCTCAAGTCCCAGCCCAGGTTCCCAGCCCAAGCCACTCTGAGTTCCTGCTGCCCCTTCCTCTGTCCAGCTCCTCCAGATCTCCCTCTGTACAAAGAACAAATCCCTCTACCCAGCCTGGTCTGGGGACCTTTGGTGATGGGGCGCAGCCTTCCTCTGCCTCATTTCTGCCTCTCCTTCCCTCCCACTGATTGGTTCTGATGGCCCCGGCTCTAGCTTTTATCTTTCCCGGAACACTGCATGCTCTTTCACGCCTGCGTGCCTTTGTACATGATGTCCCCAGTGTCCGGGACACCCCCCATTGGTCCACCTGGCACCCATCCTCTGTGGCTCAACTCTGCAGCTGCCAGCTCCCATCCTTCAATCTCGTACCCACCGAATATCAGACTGTAGCCTAGAGCCCCCTGAGCACCGAGCATAGAGTCCAGTCCCTGAAAGGCCCTAAGGGAGCCCAGATTGGATTATATAGTGTCTTCTAACCAGGCCAGAATGTTGGTCACCAAAATGTTGAATTCCCTCTGTACATACCAAGTGGTACAGCAGGAGCTCTGAGAAAACTTCCTGGTCGTTTGAGCTAGTGCATCAGTTAGGCTGCCTTGTATAAAGGGAGATTTGGGAATACATAGCTAGAGTGGCAGAGCCTAGGCTTGGAGTAAGACTCATCCATGGCCCCATCCTGGCTTGAGTTTTGACCTCACAGGGCTCCCTCATGCTTAGAAGGACCCACAGGCCGGGGAGGAATCCCCCCAGAGGTCTGGGAAGGCTGGCAGCTACCGCCCTCCCCTCTGCTGCGACCCTCCTGTGTCCCAGAGGGATTTGAGGTGGATGGTGCCACTATTTGTCCTTAACACCCAAGTGTGAATCAGTGTGTGGGCTGTTCTCTTGGATGTCTGTCTGGGCAGAGAGCTGGGGGTGCTGGGAAGGGATAAGCCAGCAGGAGCCAGGCAGAGCTATTGTTCGGGGTCACCGGGTGTCAGGGGGACACCCTGACCAAGCCCCCTCATCTCTCATTGTGTCCTTCGGACTTTCCTCCACCATTCATTCTCCACGCAGAAACCAGGGTCCTCTTTCTATACGCAAACCCAAGCACCCTCCCAGCTGAAAACACCCGCAGGATAAAACCCGTGCCCTGAGTCCGCCATCCTCTCCGGTGTCCCTCCTCGCCAATCTTATCTCCCTGCTCGCGCCTCCAGAGCTCTCCTTGCTCCGTCTACAGTTCCTGGTCTCTTTCAAAGCTGGCCTTTCCTCGCTCTGTCCCCTCACCCTGGAACCCCCTTGCCTGGCTTGCCCAGCCGGCTGCTCCTCCCCGTCAGGCCTAAGGGAAGCCTTGCCAGTCTCCCTTCACGTTTACTATTAGGGAATCCCATAGGGAGCGCCCATTGCTCCCCTTCCTGCCTCTGCAGGGGCTGGGACCAGGGTCACGTGTCAGACAGTCCTGGCTACCAGCATACAGACAAGATTATGGGGAATGACAACTGGGTGTGGGGGAGGAATATGTCCCAAATGTGCCCCTCTAGAGGGAGATGTCAGATCTGGGACGTTGGCAGCCTTATAGGAGGACTGGGACCATCCAAGAGGCAGGCAGTTGCTTGGCATGTGCCTGAGCTTTGGCCACGTGGGCGCCGTGCCGAAGCCCCAGCTGTGGATGAGGGCAGGTGGAGGACAAAAGGGGGTCAAGGACAGAACCACGGGACTCATCCCATTTTTGGCTTAGTGAGGAAAGAGGAACCAAAATGAACACTTGGGAGAAGGTGGAAGAACGCAGAAAAGGTAGCTAAAATATAGCACTGTTTTTTTTATTTAGTTCTCAGATAATCTTACTTTTTTTCTTTTTCACTTAGAATAGCTGGAAAAGGAGGGCCCTATGTGGCAGTCCCTGGATGAGAAAACCATGTGTCAAAGCTTGTGCCGGGTCCCTCACTCTATTTTTACCTTCCTGACACTACCTCTTTGAGCCCTGAGCAGGACTTCTGGCCTGAGGTGGCCCGAGTCGGCACCTCCGAGGCCGAGGTGGCCAGCCCTCCCTTCGTTCTTCAGAAACCACCAAAAAGCCAGCCATTCACTTTTCTTGACCAGAAATAAATGCATTAGATAAATGTTCTCAGGCAACCTTGAGGGATGTGGACACAAAATTATCCCATAAATTACTTTTGTTTTCTCTCCTCAGTTCAGAGTTGGGTTTTGGGTTGGTGGTGTTGTTCACATTAGTACATGAAAGTTGGGCGGTAATTAATATTCTTAAAATAGAATGCCCCTACTCCCAAGTTTAGAAAGAAAAACCACCTAGGAATGAAAGAATGTGGACGCATGTGAAATGCTACTTCTACTAGCCACAGAATCTTTTATGAGCCTCAGTGGGGAGCGCCTGGCCTGTGGGATCTGTGGCGGAACATGCCAGGGCCGACCGTGTCTGCGGTTGCTTTTCATTCTGTTCCCGGTTCCAGGTCAAGGAAGCCTTTGACATCGTGGCCAGGAGCTGTGGGGGGGGTTCACCAACCTCTAATTACAGTTCTTTTTTAAAATATTGATGAATAGTCCCTCTGTTGATTCACTTGTTTTTAAACAGGGCGGCTGTAGCGAGCAGACTCTCCAGGCCTCCTCAGGCCACAGAGCCTCTCCCTGCACCTCGAAGTGCTGGGACTCTCTTTCAAACACTGAAGGAAGAAAACTGCCCCGATGGGTGGGTCGGGGGGGGAGCGGGAGGTCACTTCAGGATTCAAACTCAGGCCTGGCTGGGCTGCAGGGGGAGGCCTTGCTTTCCCCAGACAGGGACTTTGGGCCTCTGCTGCTCCTACTCAGGCTTCAAGGTTGGGGTGCAGGCTTAGGCAGGAGGGGCTGCCATCCTACTCCCACCACCCTCTGGCCTGAGACCCCACTGCACATCTGGTCACCCTGTCCCTGACATGTCTGCTACCTGGGATGGAGGCGAGTAGGACTGGAGGGGATCACTTCTAGTCCTATGGGTCCAGAAGAACCATGTGCCACCTGTCCCATCCTGGGGACACCCACACCTAAGGACCTTGCAGGCCCAGGCTCCCCCAGAGGCAACTGACTACGATGTGGGTATGGGGGGTGATCCCTATTTTCCTGGAGGACTTGGTGCCCAGTCAGCTGCTTCTTGCCTATACTACCAGCTTTTCATCGCCTGTCCCCACGGGCTGAGGACTTGGCTGGCAGCCAGGCATTGACATGGTTTCTGTAAGAACCTTGTCTAGAGAAAAGCACCTCATTACAAATGGGATATGTCATCAGTGCCCATGATACCCCAGAGCTCCTGACTGTGTGGGGCTGAGGCCAGGTTCCTGACGCCATCACCTTCCCCGCACTACAGCTTAGCAGAGTACTGCTGTTGTCACCATTTTACAGATAAGGTGACCAAGGTTCAGAGAGGTGAAGCTTGCTCCCCAAGATCACCGTGGAGGGGGTAGGATTTGAACCCAGCTCCATCTGACTCTGAAACCACAGCTCTTCTCAGTCCGTCCTACCACAGAACGAACCTCCTGGTCCCACTTCCGGCCTTTGGCAAGTGGCCTCTGGAAGGGGCATCCTCAAATACAAATACATGCGACGTGGCCCAGGGGGAGGGTGTCGTGAGCTCTGCTGTGGAGCTGCTTGTCAGATCCTGCTCTGCTCGGCTGGGGTGCCCCCTTAGTTGGGGGAACTTGTTGACATGACCCATTTGGACTACAATTTTAAGAGGTAATTATAGATCAGCTTGGTGACCATCAGGCCCTTCTGCTACATGCTAGGAAATGGACATAACCCTGTTACAGGGTAAATCAGATATAATCAGCACCTAATTCAATATGGTGGCTCTAAAGTAACATTTATCAAGTACAGAAGCAGGTCCAGTGAGTAAGACAATAGTGGTGGTTGGATTAGACTCAGACAAGAGGAACCCATTTGCTGATAGTTTTAAAAAGATTAAGTGGGAGAGACAAACTTTTCCAGCATGGTCCATTATTAGGCACGTACACTCACATGTTCTAGACACACACGAGGGCATCTTCCCGACGTGCACACCTCAGCCTCACCTGGCCACACTTCATCCTTCAAGTTCTGACAAAAGTGCCTAGACACCTAGAACACCTTCCTGTCCATAACTGAGCCTGGGTGATGAGCCAGTGGGCGGGGCTGGCCATTCCTGCCCATTCTGTGCCTGAGAATCGGAAAATGCTCAGCTACAGAGCTCAAGTACATGGCCAGCTTCTGGCCAGCTCTGAGTGGGATAGAATCTCTCTTCTGACTGGTGGTTTGGGAGTTACATAGGCTAAAATAATAGTCAGATTTCTGGGTGATTGTGATGGCATCTGTTACTTTTGCATTCGATGGAATGTTCCGTCCCTGCCTCCTTCCCAAATGCCGGCCAAATTGACAGCAATTCCGGGCCCACACCAGACCCTTCTCCACAAATTTACAGAGGCAATGGTCACTAAGAGCCAACGACGTTCCATTGACTGCTCCCCCAGCCTCCCTTAGCTATATGGGCCTGCCTTCCAGACCTCTGTGGAAGCCTCCAAATCCCTTCACCCACACTGGGGCTGGCTAGTGACCTTCCTCTGAGCCACCACATCCCCTCTCGGGCTCTTGGTCCCCTAGCTCATCTCACAACCGTTAAGAACTCTTATAATAAGTTCCTTATTCCATCACACTTACAATGATTCTGCCTCCCTGATGGAACCCTGAGTGATAAGGCACCCCACCTCTTCAGGTAGACCTCATTTCTCTCTTCTGGAAAATGGAGACGGTGTGAGACATACCAGTTCCAGGAAGGGGGCTGAATCCAGATGCTAGGCCTGAGCTCAGGATTGACTCTGGCTCGTACACAGGTCATAATCTGCGGATAAGCTTTAGGTCAGAATCCTGACCTAGTTGGGCTTTTCAGCTTGGCACCAGCTGTAGCAGCCCCGCAGAACAGGGCGCTCGTGAGGTCAGTGGACGGGTTCCTGCTCGTGGCAGAAGATTGGTGCCACGATGGAGGGTTTAAGACAATGGCTGCTAGTTAGAGCCTTTCCTGATTGGATGCTGGTGTCTCAGTCGGGAATGCAAGCCTAATTTGGAACATCATTCTCCCAGGAAGCCAGTGAGTGCTAAGTTAGGAGGCTTCCAAGAAGCTGCTGAGAAGGGCGAGAATGGCTCCTGGGGCAGCGATGCGCTCTGCTGACTTGCTCGTGCGGAGGCTGGCTCCCGCAATGCCGATGGGCTGGGGAGTAGATGTGTGGATGCTGGGTCTAGGCACGGCACACACAGTGCCTGCTTACCTCTGACCCCAGGTCAGGGCTCCCACTGTCATACTCTGCCTGCAGATGTCCCCCTTCTCCCCTGACTTCAGGTCCCTGCTCAGATGCCACCCCCTCGGAAGAGCCCGTGCCACCCCGTGTGAACTAATGTCCCCTTCCATCACCCTCTATGGCCCTACCCTGGTCCACGTTTTTTTCCAAAATGTCACCACCTAACCCATGATGCATTTCCATGTTGTCTTTCTTCCTCCACTAGCAGGTAAAGCTCCTTGAAGGCAGTGCCTCAGGTCTGTTTTGTTCACTAGTGGATCTGCAACACTTTCAACATGTGAATGGCACATGGCTCATGCAAATTTGCTGCAGCAAGAGAAGTGTCCTGATCTCACCTCTGCTTCTGTCTTCATTTGTGCTTGAGAACACCGAAGACAGCAACCCCAGCCTGGAGGAAGGCTGCTTCTTGGGGTCAGGAAGGCTGGTTTGATCAGTTAGGTACCAAACATGAGTTCTCAACACCAGGGGTCCAGTCTTTTCTTCTGATCATTACGCTTGATCTTAGGATCTGTAACCATTTTGGAAGTGGATTTGGGGTGATTAAGTTCTTTTCTAACCTAGTCCTGTATGGAAAACAAGAGTTTTAAATGGAGTGAATTAGAATGGATTTGCTGATGTCTGATCACTTGTGCGATCATTCACCCCAGCTCATTTCAACGCCGGGACTGGGCATCCCGCCATGAAGAACATTCCCCTGGCTCTTCCTGTAAGGGAGGAGAGGAGACTTCTGTCCTTAGACTAGAAGAGTTGCATGGGGAGTCAGAGGGGCCATGGCCTTTGAGGAGCAGAGCTTTTGGAAAGCCCATGCCCTTGATTTTGTAGGGAGCACCAGTCCTGGCTGGTGGGTCTGCAGCCTGACGGGGATGGCTGGCAGTGCTCCAAGCCCGCACCTGGTTTCTCTGTTTTCTCTTGGAATCCTCCTGACCACAGCTTGGGAACTACAAGGACAGGTGTGCAGGGAGTGGTGCATGAGGAGGGTCTGGCAAAGGACTTTTGATAACAGGACTGCAGGGTCGAGTTGGGGTCCCTCAAGGAGGAGGAGGAGGGGAGCCCCCTGTGTCCCTGGCCCACCCACCACTGAAGTCCGAGGTCCTGGGAGCTGGTGTGTTCGCAGCTCAGCCCAGTACAGAATCTGGGGGTATCATGGCAGCAAGAAACAATGTTTCCAAGAAGATAAGGTAGAAAAGAAAGCTGTCCACCCAATCTGGAAACATAAAGGCACTGATACTTGATGGGACCACTCTTGTGACCTGGAGCCTTGTGGGAGACCCTGTTCTTGGCAACACTGGAAGCAGGGAAGCTGTGAGTTTCTTCTCTGTAACCCCAGTCACACCTGTGCAGACTTGCTGGGCCCAGTGTCACGCTGGGGTAGAGGCTGGCTTTTAGCCAATATTTGGTAACTTTCAGAAAATGGGATTTTCCTCTTCTGCTGATTTGATTTTTAACTTTTTGGGGATTTATCATTTGTTTAATCTCTAGCTTTTGGGTGCAGATAGCAGGGTTTCTTTCCCCAAGAAAGATGCTTTGATGGGGACTTAGGGTTACAGCCTCAGGACTCACAGCTGCCCTGCGTCTTCTGTCCTGCGGGCCTGGCTGGCATGGGCTGCCTGGCCAGTCTTCATTAAAGGAGACGCTCAGGATCATTCTGTCTGGGAGGTTGTATGGTCTGTTCCCATCATGAACCCAGCTGCATTCAGATGAAATGGCAGCTTGGGGTACAACGGCTTGGGGCAGTGTCACGAGGCTTATGTCACTCAATCCTCAACCCAGTCGAGTCTGAGAAGCCCTCAGAGGTCACAGCTTTTTGCCCTCAGTCTGCTAGTGGCAAGGCTGGGATCTGCAGCCCCAAGATTGTGTCCCGAGAGCCAATGCTCTTAGCTACCCTGTCATTCTTCCCATGGCGCTTGTCTGATGATTCATTTCTTATTCTATACCCAGAGACAATGAGGTGGAACCCAGAAGAAAAGGGGGCTATTATGATAGCACTATTTGCCGTTTACCTAAATTGGATAATAAATCTCGGAGCTACTTAACATATACATGTTGACCCCCTAAACATCTAGTTATCACTTAATGCTATTTGATGGTAACTATGGTATAATTAATACTTTCGTATAGAAAATAAGATATTTTCTGTGAAATGGAAACGTGAATGAGAAAGTGCATTTAGCCTGGCCCTCATCTTTCTTGGGGACAGGGCAACAAACTGGAGGTGGTGGGCAGGGCTGCGCGTGGCCGCTGATGGCTGCACAAAGCACTCCCAGCCCCCTCCAGATTGGTGTGGTGCGCAGGGAGGGGAAGCCTGTCGCCTAAGCAGCCGGAGGCCCAGCTGAGTGAGGCTGCAGAGCCCCAAATAACTCCGTGCCCATTCATCAGCCTCAGCATAATTGGGCATCTGCCACTGGTATCTCCAGATGTTTGCCGTGATCAGACGTCGATGCGGTTCAGTGTTTTCATTGAGAGCCTCATAAAAAGCTCTAGCTGGTTGGGGACGCTTATTGTTCATTTTATTTGAGTTCCTTATCATGTGCAAAATGTTCCAGGCACCATTAGGAGACACAAAAGACTCAGAAAACACAGTTTCGGAGGGGGGTGCAAGCTCACCCTAGCGTAGAGGAGACACGGCCACTGAAATTTACAAACATTTGGGGAACACAATCAGCTGGTGGGAATGAAAGTCTCTCGCAGCAGCATGTTGGGGCGGGCGGGGGTGGGGTGGAGGAGACTGAGGGTTTAAAGCTCGCCTGAGGGAATCTTCTAAAATCAGACGGGTGTTCCAGGCTGTTTGCTCATGAATGTGGTCTTCAAATGACTTCGCAGCGAAATTGGAGTGTGGGGGCCCTCCTGACCTGGGGCAGAAGCTCGGACAGGAGATCAAAAGGGACACATATCCTGTTTGAGGGGAAAGGTTTGAGGCGCTGGTCCAGGCACATGGTAATTATTGCTTAACCATAAACGTATCTTGGCAAGATACATTGATTTGCACATAGGTTGCTAAGGGCATTTAAGGGAAAACAGACCATAGGCAATGAGAATTGCCCCCATCAATTTACCAAATTCATGTCTGAGCATCATGGAAGTGTGGAGAACCTTGCTTATAGGTGCAAATTAAGGCTCTCTTCCTTGGGAAAGGATAATTTAAATGATCAATAACCTCTCCTGCAGGAATACTTTGAGAGTATTCCTTTTTAAAATTTGACTTCATTTATTCTTTTCTCTTATCAAAAAAGGATTTGTAGAGGTATATCACAAAAGATACGGCAGTGGGGTTATTAAAATTGAAATGGGAATCAGAACCCAGTCAGAAAAGAGAATACAAGTTTTCTAACTGTAGTGGCTAACCTTACTTGTGAGCAAGGTCTACATTTAGCTCTGAGCTTCCTGGAATCCAAGGTGAGAAGGGCAACATAATCAATGACATAGGTTCAACTACTGAAATGGACCGACTGTCAATTCTTTTTTTTTTTTTTTTTTAAGATGTTTATTTATTTATTTGACAGACAGAGATCACAAGTAGGCAGAGAGGCAGGCAGAGAGAGAGAGAGGGAAGCAGGCTCCCTGCTGAGCAGAGAGCCCGATGCGGGGCTCGATCCCAGGACCCTGGGACCATGACTCCAGCAGAAGGCAGAGCCTTTAACCCACTGAGCCACCCAGGCGCCCCCCGACTGTCAATTCTTGACTGATTGTTCGTGAATTTATAAAAAAGCCAGAGAAACAGGGGAAACTTTGGGGGAAATGGGGGATATTTTTAAGATATTTACAAGGGAAAAGATGGATTTTGACCTTTTTCTTGTGAGGCAAAGCTTGGCAATAATGACAGGCGTGCCCACTAAGGTCTGGGTGAACCTGGAATAAGCTGTGATTCAATCAGTTCGTTGCTGAACGAATCACTTTGGACCAGGACGCAGGCATTTAGCATGTCTGGCC